TTTTTTTATTTTTTTTTTTTTTTTTTTTTCTGAAGAGGGGAGGATAAAGTCTTTCTCTGGTTTTCTCTTACTGGATGTGAAGGATAATTCTGTACTTCTAGTAGAAGATTTGACAGAAGTGTGTGTTTACGTTGTGTTCGATTACCATATCCAGGTGACTGTGAGAGCACCTCCTGAGCTGGGCTCCGCCAGGCTGTGTCACTCAGCACTTAGCTAGATAAGAGAAAGTGTGGAATTTCTGTGTTTTTAGAAACTTGAACAATTGCCACATAATAGCGGTGCAATAATTTTTATTCATGTTGTACCTGCATGTCGATGTTCAAATCCTCCTCCAAAATAAATAATTTTTTTTTTTTTTTTTTTTTTTACATAAATCCAAACTTGTGTGTGTTTCTTGTTTGCTCTCCCGCAGCGCTGGGGGTGGCTGTGCTGGCAGCCCCGCCGCCTCAGCCGCCTGCTTTGGTGGGGCAGAAAATAGCCTGCAGAGTGGGTGCCGGAGGTATCGGAGTAAGTCTGCCAGGCTATTTGGGATTTTCTGCTCCATGGACCAGACGTATAGATAAACCAAAGCTTTCCACTCTGAAACCCAAGCCGAGAATTTGCCATCATCCACTGAGAGTCCCTTAAGTACATAGTGTCTTGTGTCCCTGCTGATGCGGGGTCCTAATGGTCAGTCCTTACTAAAGGGGGAAAAACATGTAGGATGTGAAACTTAGCGGGGCCACGAAGAAAACAGCAAGATGAGGAGAGGGTGGGACTGACCGCAGCTGAACACGATAGCCGATGGGTGCTTGGAAAACCCCAAAGGGCAGCGGCTGCCAGCGGCACCCGTAGGGCATTGGCTTGGATTAGGCAAACGGCATGAGGCAGCAGGAGCTACGTAGACCCCTTCTGCACTCGGTTATTTAGGCTGCCTTGGTAATATGCCACCCAAAACCTTTCCAGAAACAGCCCTTTGCTTTTAACATTTGCAGGTGTGCGCTCTCCACATGGAAAAGCCTTCAAAGGCTTATTCCTGTCCTTGGAAATAAAGAGCTGGGGAGACGCTCGTGCCTGGGGGATTGGACTCAGCCTTGTTTGCTGCTGCCGAGGATGCTTAAAATATCCCGTGTCTCCGTGCTCCAGAGAAGCTGCCAAGCAGAAACCGGGGGCGAAGCACAGCTCCGTCCACAGGAGATTTGCAGTGCCTCTGCCGGCAGCCTCTCGCCACGCCGCGGTTCGTCATCGCTGACGTCCGTTCATAAAAGAGTGATATTCCTGCCCACGCGGAGAGGGACAGCGCGGCTTGGAGGGATGGGAGGCGCAGGGCGCCCAGCGAGAGGATGCGGTTGCATCTCCCGTCGCGTTGCACAAGACGGCCTTTCTCTGGCGCGGGAAGGCTGGCACCCCTGATGGCTCCGTGTAGGGCCCCAGCGCAGAGCAAGGGCTGACCCGAGTCCAGAGCATCCCCCTCATCGACACGGGGGAC